AGAAACAGACAAACAGGTCCAGAAAGTGCAGAGTCCCAAATAAGATGAACCCAAAGAGACATCATAATTAAAATGCCAAAAGTTAAAGACTGAAAATCTTAAAAGCAGCAAGAGAAAAGCAGTTAGTTACCTACAAGGAAGTGCCCATACAACTGTCAGCTGATTTCTCAATAGAAACTTTGCGGGTAAGATGGGATTGCCATGAATTATTCAAAGTGATGAAAAGCAAAGACCTACACACCAACATTACTCTACCAGGCAAAGCTATAATTAAGAATCAAAAGACAGATAAAGAGCTTCCCAGACAAGAAAAAGCTAAAGGAGTTAATCACCACCAAACCAGTATCACAAGAAATGTTAAGCCCTGACAGGTTTGGCTTAGTGGATACAGCATCGGCCTGTGGACTGAAGGGTCCCAGGTTCAATTCCAGTCAAGGGCATGTACCTTGGTTGCAGGCACATCCCATTAGGGGGTGTGCAGGAGGCAGCTAGTCGATGTTTCTCTCTCATCAATGTTTCTAACTCTCTATCCCTTTCCCTTCCTCTCTGTAAAAAATCAATAAAAATATATATATAAAAGAAATGTTAAAGGGTTTTATTTCAAAAGAAGAAGATAAAAAATATGACTAATAAAATAGCAATAAATACATATCTATCAACAATTACTTTAAATACAATGGATTAAATGTTCCAATCGAAAGACATAGTGGTTGAATGGATAACAGAACAAGACTCTTACATATGCTTCTACAAGAGACCGACCTGAAATTGAAAGATACACAACAACTGAAAGTAATGGAAAAAGGTATTTCATGAAGATGGAAATTTTAAAAAAAAATCACTTCTCAGCCTTCTGGCTAAGATCAAGTATTGAAAAAAAAAAGCTAAGGTAGCAATACTTATTTATCAATAATATGCATGCATGACTTTTATAATGAGAGAAGTGGAGTTATTCTTAATTATAAAATGTGCTTTCTATGAAACACTGATGTACAAGCAATACTTTGAACATACTGATTATACAATAATTAGAAATTAAAGTAAGTTTTATCTGTTCTGAAGGGAAAAAAAAGAATAAGTTAAATAGTACAGGTTTTATGGAAGACAAATTAATCCTGAAATTACTGTTTGGACAATGACTTACATAATGGGCTGTTCTGGCCAGTGGGCAAAAGGAGCAGGAACATGAACTGCAGGCTGCGCTCCCATCAATCCTGAGCCATCTTAAAAAAAAACACACAAAAACACATTTATTCCAGAGTACCTGTTTAATAACACTTTATCTCTAAAAGAAAAGTCACATACTGAAAATGTTGCCTTCTGGGTTAAGAATTATCAAAGCACAATGTAAGAAAACACAACATGTAATTTCTGAAATCTAGATAAAAGGAAAATAACTATATATTTTATTTGCATTAAGTAAAGTTGTGCTTTTCTCATTTACATATTTTTGCTTGCACAAAAATCAATTTTCCTGACTGATCCAGTGGAAAAAAATGTTTAGACTATAGATAACTTACAGTAAGCAAGACTAGGATCCAAAGTATTCCTGGCTCCATAAAAATAGTACGCATCATCATAAGGAGTTCTATAGTTAGTAGCCAAAGGTGGTAGTAGGGGAGGTGGAGGCAGAGGTGCAATCCTATATCAAAAGAAAATTGGAAAATTCTTCTCATATTACGTTGTAATATTTTTAAATCAAGCTATCATTGTTTTGCAAAAATGTTACTGAAAATCTGATTGCTGCTTTAGAAAAAGCTTCAAAGTTATGTAAGACAAAAACTTCATATTTTATTCAAACAATATCTAATTAGTCACTATATGCCAGTATTGAAAAAACATGGTCCCTGTCCCTCAGAAATAAACAGACAATTACAGCAAAGTGTAGTAAATGAAGCCATACAAGCAGATGAGGGAGCAACAGGAACACGGTGCAGGGACATTGAAATCATCTAGGCAACAGGAGGGAAGCATGAGGAAGTCTCTCTAGAAAAGGCAACGCTTCAGCCAGGCTGCTAGAGTGAGCGAGTCCGAGAGAGGAAGAAAAGGCAGAGGCACAAAAAGGGATTAAAAATGGTCCCATTAGACTGGAGGAAGAGGTGCATTTTTAACTATAAAAATGTCTTGTTCTCAAAAGAAGTTAACAATAATGTATAACAGACTCCACTTACATATCAACAGTCAAGTCTTGACACTATGTTAAAACTTCTACATCAGCACTCCACTCTTGACTAGGAAATGTGGCTGTATTTTCCCCAGGGCAACCTTTCCCAGTAGTAAAAATGGAAAAGGCAAACCCTTTACATGAACAGAAAGAGAAGGGAGGCTTCCTAGAATGTCTGCATTTTAAGTTTTTCCTAATATGTTCTCCTTACTGTATACTGCAAAATAATTCTGAAGAGCTAACAAGGCATTTACAATTCTCTTCAGGCATGCATATTTTTCACATTTACTAGTCACTCTGTGTCTAACCTTACTATCCTCAAGTCCATAGCTGCATCAACAAAACAGTTGAAAAACTGCAATAAAAACCTGTCAGTATCATTCAATCTTACATTTTTATATAAATTTATTTCAGATTTAATCCTCACAACTCTGTATTTGTAGACAAGGAAAAAAAAAGACTACTATTGCACTTTTACAAATGAGAACACTGAAGTTCAATAAACATGTGGTTTGCCCAAAATGCATACAGTGAAGCTGACCACTGTAACCTGTCACCCAATGCTGAGACCATCATACCATGCTCTGTAATTCCAATCCCACCTAGTCTTTTCAGAAAGGAAGGCAGTAGATGAAACGAAACACCTGATAAATACAGTAAACACAGACCTACAACTTGTTAGTATTCAATAAAAGTCCTACTGAAAGAAAGTACAGCCCAGAAAATATTGCTGTTAACAAAGAAAAACACCTGATTAAACACATTACTATAATACATTAATAATAAGCAAGAAAACAGTTCAAGTCCTCCTAAGAGAAGAAAGTAGAGCCCAGAAAATATCAATGTGAACAGAATTTTCTGTACGTACAGTCTAGTATAGCATGATGCCCTTTACCAACATAAATCATATTTTTCCATAATACCTAAATTACAGGTTTTATAATCTCAACAGTTTTCATTTCAGGTATTTGAGTTGCATAGCCCGTAAGTAATTACAGAGAAAAAGTTGAATGAAATAGAAGTTAAAATAAAGTAATATATGTATGTTAGATTAGAAGTCACTTTTCTGTATAAACTGAAGCAAGTGTTCAATATTTGCCAAATGGAATTACAAAACTGAAGAAAATGTATGTTTATATGTTTAAAGATATTTAAAATATTCAAAAATATAATCTAAAACTAAATACTAAATGCACTTATGCATTCTAAAAATTCTAAAGCATCTTTCAACAATAAAGGCATGTTATAAGAATTTTCCTTGTTTTTATCATAACAGAGGAAAGTCCAACAATGAAAACATTTCAAGAGAAATTATTTGACAAAAGTTGTTAATTACACAAAAATCTCTAATGGTTAATGTTACCTGCTTCAGAAAACCCTTCTGAATATAAAATATGACACCTGCCCCAATTCCCGAACATAAAACATTTTAAACAAGCACCTGGGAGACACCATTTCACCAAGGGTGCTGCCGAGTCCACTGTACAGATCTTCTCTCTGTGGTGGGATGGAGGGAGCTGGTGGGCAGGAGGGGGCATGGGGGGCAGATAAAGGAGGGAGAGGGGTCTGGAAAGCTACTCTGGGTCTTTCAGGTGGGATCGTCTCTTCGTAGTATCTTGGTGCCACACTAAACTGCTTTAGTCTATCGGGCTAAAATAAAGAAAAGATATCTGTTTGTTATATACAATCCTTACTTGAAAGGTGGAAGAGACCTCAAAAGACCCTCTATCCCAGACTGCCAGCCGACACTAAGTTACTCAGAGAATAACACAATTTTACAGCTAAAAGATTTTGCAAATCTAATCCCTATTTTATATATGGGGTAACTGAGATCCCCCTGAAAGTACACAAACACCTAATGTCTCACTGTTAATAAATAACCAAGCAAAGACCAGAGCCAGATATTAATTCTAAATACAAAACTCTATTATACCACATTATACTGCTTCTCTACCAGATTACCATTTCTGACATCAAAGTATTCTCCAGTCAGCAAACATTTTCTGTGAAGAGCCAGACTGTGTGTGTGTGTGTGTGTGTGTGTGTGTGTGTGTGTATGTATCAGGCTCTATTCATCCCAAAACAGTATCCTTTTTCCCCTTCATGTTTATCTTCCCTAGGAATGATTTGTCAGATTAATCTAAAAGTTTTATTCTAGCCCTGACCAGTTTGGCTCAGTGGATAGAGCGTCGGCCTGCGGACTGAAGGGTCCCAGGTTCAATTCCGGTCAAGGGCATGTACCTTGGTTGTGGGCACATCCCCAGTAGGGAATGTGCAAGAGGCAGCTGAATCGATGTTTCTCTCTCATCGATGTTTCTAACTCTCTATCCCTCTCCCTTCCTCTCTGTAAAAAAATCAATAAAATATATTTTAAAAAAATGAATAAATAAATAAAAATAAAATAGTGATGAAGGCAGCAGTTTATCCAGCAGCAGATGCTCATCTATGATGCTGGGAGCTTGGAGACAGTGAGAGACCACTGTGGGTTTCAAACATTCTCATAGATTCCCTTCAGCCTCATGGGCT